AAGTATCGAAAATATCATACAGGTTGAACAGCCCTTAAGTAAAATTCTTAGGAACAAGCACTTTCAGATTGGTATTTCAAAAAAATCCTTTTAAGGCAAGGTCTCCCTGTAGCCCCAGCTGGCTAGGAACTTGCTATGTAGCTCAGGCTGGCTTTGATCTCACAGATATCTGCCTGCCTCTGCCTCCTTAGTGCTGGGATCAAACACCATGCCCAGCTGTTTATAAAATTCTACTAAATTTAGTTTTATGTGTATGAATGTTTGGCCTGCATGTATGTAAGGGAAGTGCACCAATGGGTGTAATGCCTATGGAGGCCAGAAGAAAGAGTCTGATTCCCTGGAACTGGAGTTACAGATGATTATTAGCCACCATGTAGGTGCTAGGAACTGAACCCAGGTCCTCTGCAAGAACAGCTAGTACTCATAACCACTGAGCCATCTCTCCAGCCCTTTTCTTTAATTTTAATTTTAATTTTTTTTAAAGATTTTCAGTTTAAAAAATTTTTTTTCATTTATTTTTATTTTATGTGTGAGTATATTGCTTGCGTGTGTGTAAGTGCACCCTTGTCGTGCAGTGCCCGCAGAGGTCAGAAGAGTGCGTCAGATCCCCTAGAACTGGAGTTATGGATGGTTGGTTGGTGCCATGTGGGTGCTGGGACTCAAACCCAGGCCTTCTGCAAGAACAGCCAGTGCTCTTAACCACTGAGCCATTCTCTAGCACCCCCCCACACCTTTTCTTTATTTTTTGAGACAGGGTCTCACTAGCCCTAACTGGCCTGGAACTCAGTGATCCACCTCTCTGCCTCCTGCGTGCTGGGATTAAAGGTGTGTGTCATTCCAGGCTTTGTATTTTTTTTTATTTTAATTAATTAATTAATTTATTTTTATGTGGATAAGTATATTGCCTGCGTGTATGTAAGTGCACCCATGTCACACAGTGCCCGAGGAGGTCAGAAGATGGTCTTGGATCCTCTGGAACTGAGTTACAGACGGTTGTTAGCTGTCATATGGGTGCTGGGAAGCAAACCCAGGTACTCTGCCAAAACAGCCAGTGTTCTTAACCACTGAGCCATCTCTCCAGCCCCCTGTATTTTTCTCTTTTTTTGAGACAGGTTCTAGCTAGGTAGCCCAGTCTGGCCTCCAGCTCAAAGTTTTCTTGTTTAGCTAGAATTAGAGGCACATACCACTATATCTGGCTAGGCTAGTTTTAAAAGCTTTTTCAGAGGTAGACATGATGATTTTACTGATCAATGGTGGCAATTATGTGGATAGAGTGGAGAGGGAAGAGAAGGATTTGTGATAACTAAAAGCAGCCTAGCACAGGATGACCAGGTGAATGTAGTGCCATTTACTGATGCAGGAAATGGAGGAGAGAGGGATTTTAGTGAGTCTTAGACATTTGATTTGGGGTTTACCTTGAGGTAATTACCATGGAAATCAGGACATGATGTTTCAGAGAGAGAACATACCTGAGGTCAGTATGCATCAGATTGATTCTGTAGGAATAAGTAAAATCATCAAGAGATACCATATCATGCAGGAAGAGTGTGTGGTCTCATAGGGTGTCCCAACATTCCAAGGGCAATTGGGGTAAAAGGAGCCAGGGAAAACTGAATTCCATGCATTCTACAGAGTAAGTGCTGTGAATGGCATCAGGTAAGGTGTTTGGGTCTCTCACGGGTCTGTCACTTTATCTAGAAAGTTAATCTCCTTTTGATCCCACTAAGAATATGATGTTATTTATCTTTACAGACTAATAATAATCTTCAATAAAACATCTTTGTTTTTCACAGACCATAACAGTTCCTTTGAGAAAATTCTTTTTAGTTAGACCGCAGAGCATCTTCCCCTGGAGGCTTTGCATTTGGAAACAGACTCAGAAGCAGGTCGTCAGGTCAAGAGTGCACTCCTACCACACTGAGGACTTGCTTTCATTTGCTAAAATAAATCCTTTGAGGCACATACTTGTTTGTCATAGCACTTGGTTCCTGCATTTTTTATACTTCTGAAATAGTTTTAATTTCAAACTCTTTCTGCCTCCTCCCAAGGGATTAATAAATATGGACTATTTTCGAGATTTGCTTTTCTTTTTAAAAATTTTTTAAAAAATTATTATTATTATTATTATTATTATTTTAATCTTTTTGAGACAGGGTCTCCCTGTAGCTCTAGCTGTCCTGGAACTCACTAGGTAGACCAGGCTGGCCTCAAACTCATAGAGATCTGCCTACCTCTGCCTCCAGAGTTCTGAGATTAAAGGTGTATGCCACCACACCCAGCTAATTATTTTTATTTTATGTGTGAGTATATTGCCTATGTGTGTGAGTGCATGTGTGTAAGTGTATGCGTGTCATGCAGTGCCTACAGAAGTCAGAAGAAGTGGTCAGATCCCCTGGAACTGGAGTTACAGATGGTTTTTGCTGCCATGTCAGTGCCAGGAATCGAACCTGGGTCCTCTGCAAAAGTAGTCAGCACTCTTAACTGCTGAGCCATCTCTCTAGCCCCCAGGGTTTGCTTTTCTTGGTTGGTGGGTTTTTGTTGTTGTTCTGTTTTGTCTTAAAATTAAAAAAAAAAAAAAATTGTGTGTTTGCCTGCATGTATGTAAGTGCACTATGTGTGTGCAATGTCTATGGAGATGAGAAGAGGGCGCCAAATGCCCTGGAACTGGAGTTACAGAAAGTTGATAGCTGCTATGTGGGTGCTGGAAACTGAACTCTGGAAAAGCAGTCAGTGCTTTTAACTGCTGAGCCATCCCTTGAGCCCTAGGTTTTTGTTTTGTTTTGTTTTGTTTTGTTTTGTTTTGTTGGTGTTTTTGAGACAGAGTGTCTCTGTTGTAGCCCCAGCTGGCCTGGAACTCCAGCCCTGGTTTTTTGATTTTTGGATTTTGATACCACAGAGATCCACCAGCCTCAGATCTAGGATTAAAGGCCTCTGCCTCCATGTTTTCTTTTATTTATTTATTTATTCATTCATTTATTTTGTTGTTGCTATTGTTATTTGGGGTTTTCTGGGGGAGGGGTTTGAGACAGGGTCTTGTATAGCCTAGGCTGACTTTGAACTTGCTATATAGCTGAGGATGATCTTGAACTTCTGATTCTCCTGCCTCTGCCTTCCAAATGGAGAATTTTGAGGATTTTGAGACAATAATCAGTAAATCTATATTTTTCTTTTGGTGAAGAAGAAAGTCATATACTCCAAAAACCTAGGGCTGGTGAGATGGTGCTGCATAAAGCACTGGCTGTCAAGCATGGCACTCTGTGAGTTCCATCACTGGGACCTGTGTGGTGGAGGAAGAAAACTGACTCCCACAAGTTGTCCTGACTTCCACACAGATGCCATGGCATGGATATCCTCACCCCCAATGAATAAATAAATGTAGTAATAATTTTAAAAAATATTTACTATTTACTTATTTATTTTTGTCTTTTTGAAGCAGGGTCTCCCTGTAGCCCCAGCTGCCCTGGAACTCACTATGGAGACCAGGCTGGCCTTGAACTCACAGAGATCCGCCTGCCTCTGCCTCCCGAGTGCTGGGACTACAGGTGTGCGCCACCATGCCCGGCTTTATTTAGCATTTTTTATTTTATGTGTATGAGTGTATTGCCTGCATGTATGTGAGAGTACCTGTGTCCATGGAGTTCATAGCCACCATGTGGGTGCTGGGCATCGAACCCGGGTCCTCTGCAAGAGCAGTCAGTTCTCCCAATCGCTGAGCCATCTCTCCAGCCCCATGTAGTAATAATTTTTTAAAAAGAGAGTAACTTCAGGATGTGTTCATTTGGAAAGTGACCCAGGGATGGTGGCTCACTCCTGGAATCCCAGTACTAGGAAGATAGGCAGGCAGATGTGGTGAGCTTGAGGCTAGTGTGGTGTATGTAGCAAGTTTCAGGTCAACCAAAGTAAGACCTTGGCTCAAAAAAAAGATCTATCAGAAGAAAGAGCCTGCCAGATGGCTCAGCAGGTAAAGGAGCTTGCTTCCATGGCTGACAACCTAAGTTGATCCCTGGAATTCACATAGTGGAATCCAACTCCCATAAATTGTCCTCTGACCTCCACACATGAGTGTGTCTCCTTCCCCAAAAAAATAAATGGAAAAAAAAAATCAGAAAAAAACCTGAAGAATTGTTTAAAAAGGATTGAGAAAAGTCCCTGGGCCTTCTGCTTTGTGTGAAAATGCATTGTTGAGCCAGATTTGCTTGTCTAGAACAGAATCTTTGATCTCTGACAAAATTTTACCAATATATACCCCTTTTCCTTTTGGGCTTAACAGTTCCTTTTAGGCAGTTAACTTGTAACAGTAGGCATGAGTTGTATTGGTTACTATATAATTTGACTTTAAAACATGACTTTTTTCTGTGCTTATTTTCTTTCCCTTAATGTAGGTGAGATTGCCATTCTTGGTGGTGTAGAAGAGCAGAATGATAAATTGTGGAGCTTTACCAAAAAGGCCTCACACATTCAGTTGGACAGGTAAAACAGTTCATGCCTTTTGGACTTTTTAATATATAAAGTATGTCTGTTGCCAGATGCGATAGCACCCAGCCCTGGGGAGGCAGAGGCAGGCAGGCCAGCTGGGATTAAAGGCATATACCACCATACTGAGCCCCATTAAAGATTCTAAGTAAGGGAGATGGAGAATTTGTTTTTTAAGGTTTCACTGCCCGTTATCATTACAACTAGTACCAAATAGTTGTGATTAAAATCTTTGACATAGTGTTATTACAGATCTTTTTCAGTTCCAGTGTATAAGGAAATTGCAAAAAATTTTAAATTCTGGTGCTTGTTTTCAGAGCAGCACGCGTACTGTAAAATTGGAATGATGTAGAGGATTACTATGCCCCCTACAGAAGGAAAACATAATTCTGAATGCATTATTGAAACTGATTTGTTTCAGTAACCAGTTCTTTTGTTCTAAATTTGACAATTATGATTTGTTTGTTTGTTTGTTTGTTTTAAGACAGAGGCTCACCATGTATGTAATTCAGGCTGGCCTCCAGCTTGGAGATTGTCCTGTCTCACTCTTGTGAGTGCTGGGATTACGTTCACATGCCTCCCCATACAGCATCTAATTTCTCTGTCTTGCTTATAATTAGTTGTGAAGAGAATCTTTGTGTAACATAAATATTAAAGCCCCTCACAACACCTCCAGCTAATGTGAGAATTATTTACTGGGGCCTTAAGGATCCTTCTAGCATGTGACTGATCTAAAATGCTCCATGTATTTCCAACTCTAAATGTGTCATAAACACATGAACATTGTTTCCTCAGCTTACCAGAAGTGCCTTTACTAGTTGATGTGCCCTGTTTGTCTGCTCAGTTGGATGATTCCATTCTTAACATAGTGAAAGACCACATTTTTAAGCATGGAACAGTAGCATCCTGCCCACCTGTACAGATTGAAGAACTAATAGAGAAACCTGGAGGCATCATAGTTCGATGGTGTAAGGTATGTGATTCAGGACTTTGAAAGTCGCTTCAGCATCATGGATTTGTGATTTGAGGCTTTTAGGATCTTTTTCATTAACTAACATTTTTTTTCTCTTTCCAAACAAAAATCTCTTTTGCTTTATAATGAAAGTCACAGGAAGATAAACAGTGATACTTCTTCCAGTTTCAGATAAAGTGTGAGCTTGGCTTTGTTTTGTGGTGCTGGTGATCAAACCCAGGATTCATTGTGCTCGGAAAGTACTCTACCATTGAGCTGCACCCCTAATTTAAAGGGTCCTAAAATCTCAGTTCCACAACATTGTTTCTTATCACACAGTTCCTACACTTGATCCTGGATTTCTCCAATTCTGCATTAGAGGCAAATGATGATAGTGAATATTCCACATCCATATTTTGAGACAAGGTCTCCTTATAGCCCCAGCCGCCTGGGAACTCACTATGCAGACTGGACTAGGCTGGCCTCGATCTCATAGAGATCCTCCTCCCTCTACTTCTGCATGTGCCACCATGTCCAGCTTTCATTTTCTTTTCTTCTTCTTTTTTTTTTATTTTTTATCTTTTTGAAGCAGGGTCTCCCTGTAGCCCCAGCTGTCCTGGAACTTACTATGTAGACCAGGCTGGCCTTGAACTCACAGAGATCTGCCTACCTCTGCCTCCCAAGTGCTGGGACTACAGGTGTGTGTCACCACGCCCAGCCTTTTTTTTTTTTAAATTACATTTTTATTCATTTATTTGGGGCTGTGTGTGCTGTACTGTGAGTATGGCAGTCAGAGGACATCCAGTAGGAACTGGCTCTCTACCATGTCCTGGGGATCGAGCTCAGATCACCAGGCTTGGTGGCAGGACCCCTCCTGCTGAGTCGTCTCATCTTTCCCCTTTTGTGCATTTTCTGTGTGTGGCTTGTCTCCTGTTAATTTTTAAAAGTCTTTTATGTATTCTGGATATTGAGTCTTGGCTATATGATTGATATGTAGTTGTGAGATTTTGGTTGTTGTTTTGTTTTTGGAGACAGGGTTGGCCATTAACTGATGATCCCCTTATCTACCTCCCAAGTGACTGGGATTAGGGGCAGTGCCACCATATCCAGCTTCAGAGTGGTTAATTTTTTAAAAAAATATTTTACTTATTATCTTTATTTTATGCGTATGAGTGTATGCTTGCATGTAGGTAAGTACACCCGTGTTGTGCAGTGCCGATGGATGACAGAAGAGGCTGTTGGATCCCCTGGAACTGGAGTTACAGTTGTTAGCTGCCATGTGGGTGCTGGGATTCAAACCCGGGTCTTCTGCAAGAACAGTCAGTCTTCTTAACTGCTGAGCCATCTCCCAAAGTGGTTAATATTAAAGACATTTCTTTTTTTTTTTTTTTGAGACAGGGTGTCCTTGTAGCCCCAGCTGTCCTGGAACTCACTGTGTAGACCAGGCTGGCCTCAAACTCACAAAGATCTGCCTGTCTCTGCCTCCCAAGTACTGGGATTAAAGGCGTGTGCCACCACACCTGGCCTAAAGACATTTCTTTTTTAAAAATATTTTTGGGGCTGGAGAGATGGTTCAGTGGTTAAGAGCACTGATAGCTCTTGTAGAGGTCTTGGGTTCGATTTCCAGCACCCACATGGTGGCTAACAACTGACTGAAATTCCAGTTCCAGGGGATCCAACACCCTCTTCTGACCTCTGAGGGTATTGCATGACATGGGTGCACCTATGTGCAGGCAATACATTTATATGCATAAAATAAAAAATAATAATTTTTTTTTTTAATTTGGGGGTTTTGTTTTGTTTTGTTTATTGGAGGTTTTTTTGGTCTTTTTGAGACACGGTCTCCCTGTAGCCCCAGCTGGCCTACAACTCACTATGTATACCAGTCTGGCCTCGAACTTACAGAGATCTGCCTGCCTCTGCCTCCTGAGTGCTGGGATTAAAGGCATGTGCCACTATGCCTGGCTTTATTAGTTTATTTATTTATTTATTTATTTATTTATTTATTTTGGTCTTTTTGAGATAGGGTCTCCCTGTTAGCACCAGCTGTCTTGGAACTCACTATGTAGACCAGGCTGGCCTTGAACTCACAGAAATCTGCCTGCCTCTGTCTCCCAAATACTGGGATTAAAGGCATGTACCACCAGGCCCTGCCAGCTTTATTACTATTTTTTTAATTATGTGTATATATGCATGTCTTGTGTGTGTGTGTTTGTGCATTTCAGTCAATGCCCATTGAGGCCAGAAGAGGATGTTGGATCCCCTGGAACTAGCACAAGTAGTTTTGAGCTGCCCAACATGAGTGCCAGGAATTGAACTCCAGTCCTCTGGAAGAGCAATATGTATTCCCAACCACTGAGCCATCTCTCTAGCCCCAGAGACATATTTCAATTTAAAAAGGTGTGGGGGGTTGGTGAGTTGGCTGAGTAGATGAAGGCACTTGGCTCTAAGCCTGACAGTCTGACTTTGATCTCTGAAATCCACATGGTAGAGAGAGAACCAAGTTGTCTTCTGACCACCACACCCACTCTCTGGCATGCACATGCATACACACACTTGCACACACCTAAATAAGTAAGTAAGTAAATAAGTAAGTAAATACATAAATAAATAAGTAAATAAATAAATAAATGTAAAGAAGAAGCCAGACATGGTAGCACATTACTGTAATACAAGCACTTCTGGTGCTAAGGAGAAGGGTTAATGAGTTCAAGGCCAATCTAAACTATGGAGCAAGACCTTGTCTCAAAAAAAAATCAAAAAACAAAAAAAACTGTGGGGAGAAACAACAGGATATGGTACTACATACCAGTAATCCTAGGGCTTAGGAGGCTGAAACAGGAGGAGCACCATGAGTTAGTTCAAGGCTAGACTGCTACGTACTGAGTTTGAATCAAGCCTTGACTACATGTAGTGAGACCTTGTTTCAAAAATAAATAAAAGGAAAAACAAAGGACATAGTGGTGGCCTGTTGTCCATGGCTGTCCTAAATAGCCTTTTTTCACAGGGCCCTATAAGATTGGTCTAAATTGTCATCATTTTCTGACTTTTACCTAACATAAAGTCTTTCTCCATAGGTGGATGATGACTTTACAGCTCAAGATTACAGGCTCCAGTTCCGTAAATGTACCTCAAATCATTTTGAAGATGTATATGTAGGTTCTGAAACTGAATTCATAGTATTGCACATAGACCCCAATGTTGATTATCAGTTCAGAGTCTGCGCCCGAGGAGATGGACGACAGGAGTGGAGTCCTTGGAGTGTTCCCCAGACAGGGCACTCCACACTGGTGCCTCATGGTATGCCCTTGTCTTCTCGCCCTCGAGCTTAATGATGTGGAGGGGCACTGAGATTCTGTGTGGAGCTTGGTGCACAGACCACCTTTCCCTGGTAATCAATCCTGAACTGATGGGAAGAACTCGGAACAAGGCTTTTACTCAAATTACTCCATGTAAATTTTGTTTTCATCAGATCTTGCCTTTGGAATTCAAAAATAGCACCACCTAAAACCACACAATGAAAATAGTGCACAGGACACCAATTTTTCTTTTCTTTTTTTCCCCCTTTTTTTTGGTCTTTTGTTTGAGACAGAGTCTCCCTGTTCCAGCTGTCCTGGAACTGACTAGGTAGACCAGGCTGGCCTTGAGCTCACAATGATCCACCTAAAAAAGGCAAAATTTTTTTAAAGTTTTATATTTGAAGTTGGTCTCATTTCTCTACTACTATTCCTTTTTTTTCCAGAATTAAAAAAAAAAATTTTATGTGTATGAGTATATTGCCTGCTTGTGTATAAGTGCACCCATGTCGTGAAGTACCCCCAGACGATAGAAGAGGTCGTCGAATCCCCTGGAACTGGAGTTATGGACAGTTGTTAGCCACCATGTGGGTGCTGGGATTTGAACCAGGGTCTTCTG